AATTCTAGGTGTTTCTCTTGCCTCAGCCTCCTGAGTGCTGAGATTACAGAAGTGTGCCACATACCCGGCTTGGTCATTAAATCTTACATCTACCCACTTCTATCCAAGCTTTCAGCCTTAGGCTCATTTAGACTCAGGCAAACAGCTCCATACTCTGTCCAGCTTTGGTGATCAGGAAACTGAATTAGGATCAAGAAGCTGCAGCCTCAAAGGCATAAAACGAACATTTGTAAACTTCATTCTCTGACCAGGTTACCTTTGCCTGGAACAAAGGTGTACGCAGCCAGGCCAGGATCAGTGTGGAATCCTGTGTCCCTCCTTGCCTGCCCTGTCTCTCGCCCCCACACTCCTACGTATCCTTTAACAGAGCTTTCAGAAAGAAGGCTCTTAGTACACAACCAAGACGTCAAACCTGGTTCACTTATAGAAACAGTAAAAGTGGACAACCCAGGGTGGAATCAGAAGTGGAAGACAAAGAGGGTAAGAAGTAAAAATTCCACAACAAGTCTTAAGGCACTGGCATCACAGACAAGTAAAAATATGGGACTAGAACTTGAGAAAGGTCACTCTCAGTTTCTCACTTACAGGACATCCAATAATCCCTAAAGAAGGGACAGAAATAGGACAGAGAGGGAAAAAGAAGGGAAGGAAAGAATAAAAAGATGCCTACGACACTGGTGACTGTGTGGGCACGTCGGCCTCTGAGTCAGCTAAGAGAAGTTAAGATTGGCTTTGGGGGTCAGGGTGGGGTAAACTGCAGGGCGCGGGAAGCAAGTGTCGGTGGGGGTGGGAAAATGTTACATTCAGCCAGTACAGCTGGCTATACTACCGGGGGAGTCACCTTGTCACCTGGCTGTTTATAGCACCAATTCAAGAAAAACAGGTTTTGCATTTCACTGACCACAGCGTAAAAAATAAATAAAAGGAAATAATTCCTGGAATTACATACTTCACACTGAACCTCTGAGAAAAGAGTATCCACACAAGCACCTGCCAAAGGTGCTAACAGAGAAAGACACCAGGCATAGATAAATCTTTGTGTATGAACCAGGAGCAGTAACTTCAAAACACTTGCTTAAGTGCAAATAAGAGAAAAGAACTGTGAAACCACTGCATAAACAATTAGAGACTTGGGCTGGAGATTTAGCTCAGTGGTTTCACCACCTGCTGCAGAAGCGCAAGGACCTGAGTTTGATCCCTGGTAACAAAAAAAAAAAGAATAAGCTAATATAGTCATGTATGAACAGAGGTCTTCAAAACTACTGTCAAATGGAAGGGAAAGAGCATTTAATATACATGGAAATCTAACTCTTCCTGTGTGTGTATATATGTAAATGAAAAGAAAAAGGATTGGTCGAGCACGCACCAAGTTTCAGAAATGGCTGCTTTTGTTAAGAAGAACGTCTAAATAGGACCAGGGAAGACGCACAGTTTTCTACTCTGTACTTGGTCTGTTGCATTGTTTCTTTTACTTTTTTTAGGACAGTGTATTTGCATTACTCATATGATTTTTAAAATATAATATCTTCAACCAATAAAAGACAAAGAAACAACATTTCAGTATATTTCATTCTGTTTCTCTTTCCAAAGAATTTAAACAGGGGCCGGGGATTTAGCTCAGTGGTTTCACCGCCTGTTGTGCAAGCGCAAGGACCCAAGTTCGATCCCCAGTACCAAAAAAAAAAAGAATTTAAACAGGTACAAAATCTACTAAGTTTTCATAATAAAAAAAGTTTTGATTTTTTTTTTTAAGTCAAGTGTGGTGGTACTTGCCTGTAATTCCAGTGTGTGAGAAGCTGAGGCAGAGGGATCTCTTTGAGTTCCAGGCTAGCACACAATGAGTTCAAGGCCAGCCTGAACTATATAATGAGAACCTGTCTCAAAAACAAACAAAGCAGAGCCTGGGATTTAGCTCAGCAGCACAGCACCTGCCTGGCAAGCACAAGGTCCTGAGTTAAATCCCTGACACTGGGGGAAAAAAAAAAAAAAACAGGGCCTGGGGATTTAGCTCAGTGGTTCCGGCACCTGCCTCACAAGTGCAAGGTCCCAAGTTCGATCCCCAGTACCAAAAACAAAAAACAAAAAAAAACAAAAACAGGAAAAATGATAAATATATGAAATCTTTCTGCAATGAAAAAGAGAAAAGGCACAGTAAAAGAAGAGAGACATCCTCATCTAAGCTCCTCTTAACACCATCTATGGGCTGGGGATTTGGCTCAGTGGTTCCGCCGCCTGCCTTCCAAGCACAAGGTCCTGAGTTCGATTCCCAGTACCAAAAAAAAGAACCAAAAAACCAATGTCCATAAAGACGCTTCCATCTATTAAAACTTCTGAAACTATCTGTAAATGCTGCTTCATTATGTGGATTGTGGTAAGGGAAATACAAGAAATAGGACACTAAAACACTTTTTAAAAAACCTAAAGTGCAAGGACCCGAGTTCTATCCCCGGTACCAAAAAATAAAAATAAAAATAAATTAAAAATCTAAAATACAAAGCAACAATGTGAATTTTCTCCTTAATAATATAATGTAGTTCACTGGTCATTCGAGAGATGCAGGTGTAAACAACACTGAGATTCCACCTCACCCCACAAAGAATGGCTGCTATCAAGAAATTAACCAATAACAAATGCTGGCGGGGATGTGAAGAGAAAGGAACCCTTCTCCATTGTTGGTGGGAGTGCAGACTGGTGCAACCACTG